AGCATGATCTAAACTTCCTTCTCCGTCAAGGATAGATCGGATCATGTGGTAGCTTCACCTGTTGCTGGGATCACGAAAAACCTTAATTCTCTTTTTATTCATCAATCTTTTTTGGTCATCTATTTGTTTTTTTCTCATTGTAGAAACCAAATTCCATTATCGTATCCTTTCGAGTAAGTTATCTTTCTTTCTTTTGTCTAGATTTTTACTCATCTGGGTAGCAAAGATTTCTTTCTTTCTTGATCATGATGGAATCTCTATGGTTATGTTTATTTGATATTGAATTTTTTTTTTTTTTTTTTTTGGGTGAATTTCTTTATTAATTATTGGATTTCCTACTCTCTTCTAGTTGGTTCACTTATTTTATTACGTCTTGAATTAGGTTCTTGAGCCTTGCAATACACAAATTATATATATAAAAATATATGGTAACAACTGGCGTATACATCTATTTATATATATACAAATTGACTTTTTGATGTCGAATTATGCTGGGGAATCTTAAACTTAACAGTGGGAAGATATTACTGCCAGGGTTTTTAGTGACAAAATTTCCCCAGTCTAAACATGGTTGGTGCTTTTAAGATCCCATCTTATCCCCTCATGCACAGAGCCTTTACACATAATTAATTATTTAATTTTGTATAGTTTACTAAAATTGATTAGCTAATTAATCATATATAAATCTGTAGTTTATTTGTATTTTTATCTGACATATCGGTTTTAATGATGAATATTAATTTAATCATGGCATCTGTCATATACGAATATTAAACTAGAAAAAGGAGAAAAGGAAAAGGGAAAAAGCACTTGCATCTTTGAACCCTAGCTTTTAATATATTGATTTATTTGTAATTAAGTCTCAGGATAATTTTGTTTATTCATAATTCTTAGTTAATATAAAAGCGCCGAATTGTTGCAAAAAATAAATAAAATGAGAAAAATAATTGGGGAAATATTTCATAAATTTAAATATGACTTTTTTGTTTTAAATTTTGAGGCTGTTAAGAATAATGGAGAGCTATAAGATTCTAAATATTTGAGTTGAGAGGAACATGTCTTGGATGTTTTTTTTAATTTCATTCCTTTTTCTGATTATTTCTTTATAAGGATTCTCTTTGAAATGAAACGGATTTAATAAAGAAATTTTATGATTGAGACACAAGCACACACACACATATATATTGTTGTGCAGGAAATTTGGAGCGGATACATCCCTAGTTGGCGTATAAATATCTCGTAATATGGATCTCAAAATCAAGGCCGATGATCATGTAATTTACCGTTTAAACGAATTTGAGTTTATCCTCAACTCAACCATGTAACTAATACTATATAAACCTAATTGTAATATGCTTCTACGGATGAAAAACAAGTCGCAGAAAGCAAAACTGCTAACTCTTTGAAAATTGAACTACTGTTTCAATATATTCAATAATATAATAGTGTATATATGCCTTGCATTACGAGTCGTTGAATCACTTTAAAAAATCTTTTCTTATTCTTTGTGTTCTACATTAATTGTTCTAGCATATTCATCATTATATTATTTTATTGTACGATCACACACATACATCATACGTGATTTTAACATAGTCAATCACGTATCTCTGGTTAGTGTAAATCTTTGCATATATATATAACTTTAGAATAATTCCAAAATACTTTCACTTTTTTAGTGAAGTTGATTCGTTTTTGAGACGAATGACTTTAGAGTAATTCAATTATTTGAGAGTTTTAACCGAATAACTCTGAAAATATGTTATAATTATATTAATTATGGATACATAAATGGAAAAAAAAAAAAGGTGTTCTTGAACGTACTCCAAATGCTTAATTATCCTGCATTTCTCGGAAAAATTCTCCAAGCTGGCTTCTGTATATAAATCATATTACATAAGGAGGTTAAAAGACTAAACTATTTGAGAAATTCTTTGGCAATGTTTAATTAAAAGAAATATGAAAAAGTCCTTTCAAATACTTGATGTTAAACTCAATATCAACTTAAACTGTTCTACCTATCTCGATGATATTTTATGCTTCTGGACGTCTCATGCTAATTAATCAGTGTCCTAAAAATTCCAACACAAAATGAGCTAATATAGATTGTTATTGTTTAAATGAAACTTTAATTTGTCAACTAGATCAATATTCTTAGAGTATCAGGTGCTTTATTTTTATGATTGAGGAACAAAATCTGTGAGTGTCTGATTGGAAGGCGTACAAATTTATCTTTGTAAAATAGTAAATTTCCTGTAAAATGAAATGGAATTTGATGACAGAAAGCTTTTTATTCTCCTACTGAGGATCTCAGAAATCGACACCTTTCCTCCTTGTTGGGAAGCTCAATTTGGGTAGAGAAAGAGAACCCATTTATCTTTTCTGATACTCTCAGCATCTAACTTACCAAATTTGTATTATATTACAAAAATAACTCAACTGAATTGATTCCATTCCCTTCGAAATTTTTCATGCACGTCTTCATCAACCATGAACATCAGTGTTTGCTCAATGGGCTGGGCTAAATGTTTCATGCCACTTTCGGATTTTCTCCATTATTGGGATGTTTTTTTAGTCCCTATTATTTTGTCTTTAGTCTTATCTTCAAGTTTAAATGGAAATATAATTATAATAATAATAAAAAAAAAAAAGAATAGACTTATTGGCATTTTACTGATGGACTAAAAGAAACCCTACTTTTTAATAATTTATATATTACATTATTAAAATTAACTTTAATTTTATATTCTTTACAAATACTTTTGATACCCTTCTATTATCTCATAATTTTTTTTTTTTTTTTTTTTTTTACGCTGTTCAAATCATTCTTAGAACAAAAAGAAAGTTTAATGGAGGAAGAAGATTTAGGTTACAAGCAATATAAAATTTTAATTTTTTAATTACTTCACATATAATTTATTTTTATTTTTCCCTCAAAATTTTGTAGTTATTTTAAATCTATATTTTTTTTTTTTGTTGTTTAATAGTTTTATGTTTTTGAGATTATTTATAAGAATTTTTTTAGCTTTAATATTTTTTTTTTTAACTTTCAATTTAATTATCTAAAATTTTATTTTTAGAATAAACCTATGGGTATATAGCATAAGTCAAGGGAATAAAATGTTAACTCTTTTTAATATAAAAGAAAAAAAAAATGGAATTAAGGGCATTTATGGAATTTATGGGATGCCATAAGAAAAAGAAAAGAAAATTTTACTTAGTTAACCTTCTTTTAAAAAGTCAAATTAAAAAATAACCAACTTAGTTAACCTTTTTTTTTTTAAAAAAAAAAAAATAGCCAACTTTTAGATGAATTTGCAAGGAAGACCTCTCATAAGATTTTTGGAGATATCCACCCTTGTCTTCTACACTTAATTACATTAATACCATTGCTTCCATGAAAATGGCAAAAAAAAAAAAAAAATATATATATATATATATTATTTATTTAAGATTGAAATGTAGATATTGCAATTTTTTGGCTAATTTTTTTCTAAAGAATATAGTGTTAATAGATATAATAAATGACGAGAATATATTTAGTGTATATAAAATGCAAAACTTATTTAGTGTTAAGTGTAAACTAAAACTTGGTTAAAAAATGGCATTTTCGGAAAACTGATGAATAACTTCCAGCCATTAGACTCTTGCAATGCACAAGTTTGATATAATGACATTAGCCTCCCTCGAGTAGATTTTTTTAATATTTTATATGGGTCAAATTGATATATTACATATAATCTATTATATAAAATATCATTATAACCTCTATAAAATGTCAAAAAGACCCCACTTGAACAAGATTAATATCATTATATCTTACTCGTGCAAGACGTGACCCGTGCGAGATAAGACTCATGCAAGACTAGACTTTTGCGACTCTAGAATCTGCAATTTTTTTGGAAATTTCTTCTGATTCGGTTTTTTTTTTTTTTTTTTTTTTCTAAATATGCATTATTTCACTTATATTAAACACATGTGAACATAATCTACACTCGTAAACATAAACAAACAATACAAAAAAAACATAAATCTAAAAACAATAAGGAGAAGAAAGAAGAGAATTAAAGAAGGGTAAAATTGTCCAAATTTTGCATCTAAGGTCTTACTTACAAAGACAAATAGAAATATGCACAAATTGATCCGGACATCCTCAAATACCCAAAAAAAAAAAAAAAAAAAATTACAAATAGAGATGGGTTATTTTTTAATTTAACTCTTAAAATAGGGTTAAATAAGTAGTTATTTCAAGAAAAAAAAATTAAATTTAAAACTTTGAAATGAAGTATTTAAAAAAATGAGGCCTTTTTAGTCTATTAGTGGGTATAAGTGGCTCCACTCTAAAAAATAAATTCTTCTTATTTTTCACTACTTTGGCTTCAAAGCTTTATAATTACAGTTATCAAAATTATGAGCATGAAACCAGATTTTTGATTGTAAGTGTTTTGATGTTTGGGAAATTTGCGATATCGAATGCTTTGTTTTCAATGGGAATGAAACAAGATTTTTTTTCTGTTAAACTGGATTTATAAGTGATTAGTTGGTTGTAAGAGTTTTAAAATTTTAGTTCCTTAAACAAATTAATCCATAATTGTGGGTTAAAGAAAAAAATAGCGGAACTAAAAATCAACTTCCCATTTTATATTTGCCAATGATATGAGTAATTTCGCATTACATTTTATCCCGGATTATGAAAGACTAATACAATATATATAAATTGAGGTGACAATATTACACACTTTCTTATAATTAAATTGGTATTATATTTTCAATAATGCTACACATAAAAATATTATTTGATATAACTTATTATTCTATAATCAATTAATTTATAAACCGATGTGATAATTTTATATATTTGTCAGTTGTCACATCATCCTTTTTAATTTGTTCTAATTATTTTTAGTTTTAAACCATTCAATTATATTAAAACACATTAATTTGTATATGTATTATTTATCGCAGAAATGACGAGAGGTTTGTGTATAGGCTACAAAAGCTTTGAGAAACTTTTCTATATAACATTGAGAAAACATATCAAACAACAAAATTCAATTAAGGCAATCCAAAATTTACTAGGAAGTATCCATGGTGAGGTGGGTGTAACCTAACCATGAGCCAGACCACCAAATCCACAGCAGTCAAACAACGTAGCACTTCTTTTATATAAAGAGGATTTACATAAAACAACGCTAATTCCAAACAGTTAACAACAGTATGCGATTTTAGAAGATAATATCCAATCCACAATCGGATTTGGGAAAGAATAGTTCACTCTACTATGCCTCTAATTATTCAATATGCTTTCTTCAAGCCCAAACGCCCAAGATTGTTTGACATCCTGGATAAAACACCAGTAAAGTTATCAATCTCAACACAAATATATGTTATTCAACCACAATTCTATGCCCTGCATTACTTAACGATACACTCTATTCTGATAAATTTGATGTAGGCTTACATGAGAAGAATTTCATTCTCAAAGAAATGGCAATGTCCTGAAACAAAAGGGCATACTTGGGCATTAATTCATCCATTCTGGATGGAGCCCATTTTGTTTTCTTTGAGAATGAAATTCTTTTCATGAACAACCATTGGGTGACCTATCGGTAAAAGAGCAAATGAGGATCTAACATGATCTTCCAAATTTGAGTTTCATTGATGGTAAAAGAGCAAGATGAAGATCTAATATGGTCTCTTCAGTTCGAGTCCACACGATTGCTAATAAGGGTGGTAACTGGAGTTCTTATTCAACTGATAGTTTTTAGGTCTCCAAAATTCGAGTCTCCTTGATGATAAAAAAACAAGAGGAGGATCTAACATGATCTTCTGAGTTCGAGTCCCCATGACTACCAATAGAGGTGGCTACTGAAACTCTTACCTGATAGGTAATTCTAGGGTCTCGGGAGATTAATTGAGGTGCGCACAAATTGGTTTGGACACATTCGATCATAGAAAAAAAAAATAAAAAAACAAAAATCTTCTCATGGAAGCCTACATCAAATTCAATTAGAATAGAGTGTACCGTTAAGTAATGCAGAGCACAAAATTGTGGTTGAATAAAATATTGCCATATCTTTCATGCCATTGCAAGCATGGAGGAAGATGCCTTCTTTTTGTGGTAGAGAGTCTTCTTTAACCATATGAAAACCAGTTTTGACTTGTTGAGATAACTGAAGAATGGTTTCTCTGTAACTGGTATCAACTTCACAACCCAACCAATTGGCCATGTGGCGGCTGCTATTGCAATACAAATTAACCATTGCTTCCAAGTCAACCTCTCTGTATCAGCAAACTTCTTCAGGAACTCAACCATCACAACCTGAAGAACTATAGTTATTCCCACGATTCCGAGGAACAATCGGTTCTTGTGAATGCCTTCAAATACATTCTGTTTCTCCAACTTCCTTGCATTGAACTCATTGAAAACTTGGCAAAGAACAAAGGTGTTGAAAATCAGTGTATCATTTACTTCAGCAATCACATTGAAGATGGACTCGCCCTTAAACTGTAAAGTCAATAGGATTGCTATCTGGTATAAGGATTGAAATAGAAGATTCCTCCACATAATGTTTGTTATAAGGGGCTCAGTACGACCCACGGGGGACTTCTTCATTAGTTCATCAGTTGGCCTGTCGGTAGCCAGCGCCAGAGCTCCTAGTGTGTCCATGATGAGGTTCACCCACAGCAATTGTACTGCAGTTAGAGGAACTTCACCAGCAGAAACAGCTGCAATGAAATTAATCACTAGTGCTGCAACATTGACAGTCAGTTGGAATTGGATGAATTTTTGGATGTTGTTATAAACACATCGTCCCCACCTTAGAACGGTGGCCACAGAAATGAAGTCATCATCTAATATGACGATATCTGAGCTTTCTTTCGCCACCTCAGTGCCTTGAATGCCCATAGAAAGTCCTATATCAGCTTCTTTTAGTGCAGGGGCGTCGTTCGTGCCATCTCCAGTGACTGCAACTACATGACCATTCTGTTTCAAGCATTGTACCATTAAAAGTTTGTCAAACGGAGAAGACCTTGCCATTACTCGTATCTTTTCGACCTTCTCCATTCTCTCTTCATTTGTGTAGTTTCGAAATTCTATGCCTTCTACCACCTCTCCACTTTCCACTTGGTGATTCAAATTTAGAATTCCGCATTCCGTGGCTATAGCTTTTGCTGTGAAGACATTATCCCCAGTGATCATTTTGATGTCAACTCCAGCTGATTTGCAAATATTCACGGCTTTCTTGACCCCTGGTCGACATGGATCCTTGAGACCAATGATTCCCAGGAAGGTCAAGCCATCTTCTTTCAGCTTTTGATGGATCTTCCCGTCTTCATTGTACTCCAATTCTTCTTCTGAAATTTGTTTGTGAGCAAAGGCAATGCATCTCAGGCTACTTGCTGCCATTCCATGGATTATATTTTCCATTTTGCTCCTCTCATCTTCATCCATAGTCTTTATGATCCCATTGCTCTCATAATAATGTGAACACATAGCTAGGATCATCTCAGCAGCTCCTTTCCAGTGTACATGAATTGTGTTATCAGCTTTTTTCTTAATTGAAACCCCGCTTCGTTTCTTCGTAGAGTTGAAGGTTTCAAACTGGAGAATGGTGTATCTTTGCTTCACCTTTTCCATGTCCATACCCAATTCCTGAACAGCCCATGAAAGAATCGCTTTCTCGGTTGGACTACCAGAAAATTCAGGTACGGATCCTGAAACAGGTTTGGAAACACTACCGGTTGTGTTCAAACCAACTGCTTGGTAAAATAGTTCGCGAACATTTGAAGCAACTACATTATAAGATTCTTCTTCAATGGGTTCTTGGCCAAGCCAAAATTTTGTAACTTTCATCTGATTTAATGTCAGTGTGCCTGTTTTGTCAGTACAAATAACAGTGGCTGAGCCCATTGTTTCGCAAGCCGAAAGTTTTCTTACCATTGCCTGATCCGCCATCATTCTCTTCATTGAATAAGCAAGTGTGAGAGTTACAGCCAACGGTAGGCCTTCTGGGATTGCCACAACAACAATGGTGACTGCAACCGCAACAATACGTACAACTGAATTGAAAACATCATCTAAATCTGTACTACTGCCAGTATACTCTTTATTCCCATTATCATCTTTTGTATTCCCAGTGAAATAACGAGCTAATAGAACTACAAGAACTAGGAAAGCGACTGTGAGGCCTACCTTTCCAATTGAGGAGGTTAGCTTGTCAAGCCGAGCTTGTAATGGAGTTCTTTCATTTGAATCACCGGATATTGAGCTCATCATTTCACCCCATTGCGTGTTCATCCCGACAGACACGACCAGCATTTGAGCACATCCATCTGCTACTTTTGATCCGGAGAACAAGAAAGGATTATGTTCGGAATCAACTTCAACATGATCACTCTCCCCTGTCATACTCGACTCGTCTACTTGCAAAGAATATCCATCCAAGAACAAGCCATCTGCAGGAATCTGATCACCAATCTTCAGGAACACAACATCTCCAACCACAAGCTCAAATATGGAGATTTGTTGACGGCGAGCGTCTCTAACAACTTCAACTTTGATATTTTTACTTATTTTTGATAGCTTATCAAATTGAGTTTCTTGTCTGTAGTTGCTGAGAGCTGATACAACAACAACCAGAAACACAGCTACAAATATACTTCCACCTTCATACCAACCTTCTTCCACCCCGTGCTCTTTAATGCCGAAACCAAGAGCCAGAGCAGCACACACCAGAAGGATAAGAATGGTGGTATCTTTAAAAGCATCCATAACAAAATATATAAAGCCTTTTGGAGGTGGCTTATGATAAGTATTACTGCCAAAAAGTTGAGACCTCTTACTAATATCTTCATTGTCACCGTTGATTCCCTTTTCGGGATTTGTCCCAAGAGCCGTGGCCACACCTTCAACTCCTCCAAGAAGGCGAAGAGAAAGCAAATCTTTATTCTTCACCATCTCCGTCAGCTTCTTGTCATCAACATTGGGGTCAATGGAGTAGGACACAACTTCCTTAACCTCATCGTGGGAACTGCTAGGCTGCATATCAAGAGAAATGTAACGAGGATTCTGCAATATCTCCAAATCATTTTGAATTTTGGGTATTAGAGAAAGCATAGCCCGGAAAGAATAGATAGTCCAGTAAGCGAGACGCCATCGCTTCTGCGCTTTGCTGAGCGTGGAGGTGGTAATGTTAAACAGTAATGTGCCGCAATCATAGTGCGGGATTTTACTGTCAGACATGATTTCTTTAGAATGAAGAAACTGGAGACTATCAGCAATAGGAAGCACACGGAGCCAAATGCTGCTTTCTGTTTTGTAAAACTTTTCTGTGGTTCTCACCCTACTTGTCTATATATACACAAAGCTAAGCGCTGAAAAAACGTGTAAAAAGAAAAGAAACTTCAACATCCAATGAACATAATTGAAGTTGCCAGCCGTCTGATTTACTTAGTGGAATTAAAACGCCAGAAACACGGTTGTCTAACTTTTATAATTGTTGCCCTGTCGGCATGAAACCGTCAAAGATTTTACTAATGTTTAACTTATGCTTCCAACAATTTGGGGACTGTTCTGTTCTCATTCGAGTTGTCACAATTTCTATAATCCTTTTCAGTCTCATGTTCACCAAGCAAAGATTTTTTAAAATTTCTGTACCCAAAATTCGCACATTACTTGTAAATTCATACAATGCATCGTTTCCTTAACCACCTTTGCTGAAATTATTAAGTTCAACGGTTGTTAAGTTAATTGGTACAATGTTGAAACAGTTTGGTCGGCGGCCGAACTACTGTTTTGTCTGCTTATATTCGGTCACTTTATCAAAGACTAGTGTCTGTGCCGCCTGGCCGGACTGAGGCCACAGGAAAAAAGGGAAAAGGAGGAGCCGAAACTTGACAACAACATGAAGCATTTATTATTTAAATATGACTTAGAAGAAGCAACCAAATAAGTAAAGGTTTAAGAGTTAATCCATGGAGTATAAGTACAAATATTTGAATTTTTCCTTTTTTTTTTTTTTTTTTTTTGAATCCATTTTGTACAAGTTGGACAATTGTCCTAGTTGATACGTACGGGAAACTTTCAATGAAGTTTCCCCTGAAAATTGCCAGACAGAAAATTCAAATTTCTCCCTGGCGTCAGCTTGGTGATTGCATCTATGTAGAATATTATTTTGTTTGTTGGGTATATTATATTTTACTCACTATCGTTTATTTTAATAAACTCAAACGTTTTTTTTGAAGATCATAGAAAACTCCCTCCATAATTATTAAAAAAATTGAGTAAGAAAAAATAAACAAAAAAATAAAATTCATTTTCTCTCATTTCAGTTTGGAGTAATGCTATGTGCATTAATCAATTTGTACTAATCGAAGTACTAACATTGAAAATTTAAATTTTTCTTTTTATTTAGAGAATTTCAAATTTTCAATGTTAATACTTAGATTAGTACAAATTGATTAGTGCACATAATTTTATTCTTTCAGTTTGACCCGACAAAGTATTAAAACACAAAAATGGGAAAGGTGAATTAAAGCACATGATATGGCACCAAACCATGAGCCGCACAAATCTTTGTCCAAAAGGATTTTGATAATCTCAAATAGTATTGAAAACTAGTCAATAGAATTTGTGAGAACCCAAATTTTTTATTTCAAAATAACAAATTAAACAATATCAAAACTAACTTAAAATATCTACGTGTAAGGACAGAATTAAGGTCGTTGTTACCTTCCTAACAAGGAAAATTTCTAATAAAAATAAATTCAATGTCACATCTTTTAGAGGTATATATAAGTATATCAAAATCATAATAAATATAAAATATTAATGACATCAATCTATAAAATTATATAAACATATCTTTACTTCTATAAATAAAATATATCAATATAATGCTAAGTATATATAAGTACAGGATAGTAAATGAAAGTATTGATATATCATACTACATTAATTGTGATTTGTGAGTGGAAAAATATACAATTTTCTAGAATTAATTATATTTGACTAAAAAAGACATTAAAAAATCCGTCTTTTAAATTATAGAGAGGGAAATTTCGAGGAACCCAGAAAAAGCAATTGAAAATCAATTTTCTTTCCGCCATTATCGATGTCAACTTTAATGTGTTTTTCTCGTGTTGGAAAGTCAAGAGGAAAGGAAAGAACCATGTAAGTTCTTCAATGGAAAAAAGCATGATGTGGGAAAAAAAATACACAAAGTTTCATTTCAGTGGCTGTCACTGCAATTTCTAAGCAGCTTCTTTTTGAGGAATTAATTATTGGAATTACTTTCTACGCTATGACACCATTTTGGTTTCCGATTGGATAAGCCCTTTGAAGATGCCCATTATTGAAGGGGTGTTTTATGGACTAAAGAAAAAATACGAAGACCAAAACAATGCTGACACATACACAGACGTGAGAAACAATGGCGACCACGTTTACACTCCACCGAATTTTCTTTTTCCAAAAACGTGTGCTCAGGTCCATCTAAAGCGTCAGCAATTTTGTAAGTCTTTCCAGTTGTCAGTGATAAGGGTTTGGATTTTCAATTCCATCCTCATCCTTCAATCCATTTAACAACTTGGACCTCGTGTTCTTCAAGAAATATTGCCTTGTATTTTGTAGCGTGGAACATCAACAATATTACATTGTAATTCATAAACATGTTTCGTGATGTCTAATGTAAAAGTAATTCAATCTTGGAAAATCAACCCAAGATATAAAATTCGAAATGATACTAGAAGTTGGAATTCGGGTTTATTACAGTTCGCCTTCAAGATTTGACACGAAATCCAATTTTGACTGCCACTCTTAAATGATGTTTTTAACAGTTAAATGTAACGATTCAAAGGGTATTTAAATATTTTGAATTAACAACTCACATTTTTTACCAAACACTAAATGTTTTGGATAAATGGATGAATATTTCAACCAAATGGTTGACCAATGCAATATTTCTACAATTCTTGAATGTAAAAATAGTCATTCAAGGGAATAAAAACACCAATAGTTTATTTTAAATATATTTTCTATCCCTTACACAGTTACATTCAACTGACAAAACCCCTATTTAGAAATGTCCACTTAGTTTCCTAGAATTGCGGAAATAAAACTATCTTACACCAAACTTCAATGGTGGCAATGTAATTAAATGATAAGCTCAAACTCACCCTTTTTTCTTACCAAATGACGTTGGGTCAAATTTAATACAAATTAAAAAATTACTAGCAAAAGCACAAATTCCTATCTAATTTCGCTAAAATAATATTATTATTACATGAGAAACAACACAGACAAATACTTTAGATGGCGGCGAAATTTTTATACCAGATATAGATCTAACATGCTGACCATGAATCCCAGGTGGTTTAAACTAAGAAAATCAACAAAATGAACAAATCTTTTTTATTACTAGGCTGGGTTTATATATATGAAGTTTGTGAATTAGGTAACCGAAAAGTACACAAATTTTAAGATATTTGCAAATAGTTCATGAGATTTCAATTTTAGAAAGCAATGGAAATAATATAATAAAAAAATTTGGCATTATTTTTCAAATGTTGTGCTAAGGAATACTACTACAATAATACTACGAATATTGACGCTCTGCACCGAAATGTTAAACCGAACGACGTGTCATATGAGTCAAACAAATCACGTAACACGTTAAGAAATATTTCCCGAATGAACAGTTGTCCATCAAATATGGATGGCCGTCCATTTTTATTGGACAACCATTCATTTGAAATAGACTCTCGTCTATATTATATGAACGGGAATCCACCTATAAGGACGCCCGTCCATAGTTTAAATTAAAAAAAATTGATAACAAAAATCATGGACGCCCATCCATATCATGGACAGTCGTCCCTTTTAGATAGACGCATGTCCATTGTTTAAATTAAAAAAAATTAAAAACAAAGTAATCTCATTTTTCTAGCCAAAGTCTGTGGAACCTTCTATGATACCTGTTTCTTTACTTTATTTTTTATTGCAGATGGCGAACCACTTGACTGCATTGATGAATGCAGTTCAAGTGATGAACTTCCTTAAGACACTTATATTGAGAACATTGCGGGAAAAAGGAGATTCTGTTGGAGAGAAGAGTCCAATTTCACATTTGGAGCCTTTTGATGAGAATGGACACCAGAGCCCCTCAGAATCTTGTGTGCAAGTTGCTGAAAGAGATGGTGAAGAGATTGAGCAAGCCTTCATGGCTGAGGAATCTGCCATAGAAAGTTCCACAGACTTTGGCCAGAAGAATGAGACAACTGATGGAGAAGATCACGGTCTTGTAACCTATGTTGAGAAATCAACTGCTAATAATGAGCAGTCTCATCAGACTCCAGCTCAAGTTGACACCTTAACTTGTGAAATAGGTGCTTGTGAATTCAATGGTTGAAAAGCTGGTCTTCAGGCAAAAATTGGAAAGTCCATGATTGGCCACTTAACGTTTCCCTATTTAATGGACGGAAATGGACGGGCATCCATCTAAGAGCAACGCCCGTCCATTACTTTTGTTTTTAATTTAAACAATGAACGAGCGTCCATCTAGTAGGGACACCTGTCCATTAAGTAGGGACGCCCATCCATAATATATGGACAGGCGTCTATCATTTTTGTTATTAAATTTTCTTAATTTAAACTATGGACGAACGTCCTTATAGGTGGACTCCCGTCTATAGTAAATTGACTCTCATCTATATAATATGGACCAGAGTCCATTTCAAATGAATGATCGTCCAATAAAAATGGATAGCCGTCCATATTTGATGGACAACCGTTTATTCGCGAAATATTTTTTAACGTGCTACGTGACTCGTTTGACTCACGTGACATGTTGTTCGGTTTAACATTTCGGTGCAAAACGTTGGTATCTGTAGCATTATTGATACTATTAATATAGCCAATTACATGCAAGCTCAAGTGCGGCCCATTCACAATATTAAATAGATTAACATTTTTGATTGATTGTTTACCTAAAATACTCTTAGTCAATAATAAATTATAAATTCTATAAGATAACATTAAATGTATTCTAACAAGTGTCAATTGAGTAAAAAAACCAACTCCTTAGTAAATAGTTCTATTGGGCTACATTACAGCCCAAAATTATATGCAATTAGCAAGTGAATTCATCTTGAACCTAAGCCCAATTTTACTAGCCCAGAGCATAATCTAATGGAGATTGTTAGTTCAACCTCAAACAGAGGAGATCCTAATATATATAAAAATTTAAAAAATTCTGAAGCCCTTTGAGAATCCGAAGGCCGTTTTGCCCCTGTAACACACAACCTAATGACCCCTCAAATATTGTCGATGATGATGATGATAATAAACAAATAATAACAACCAAAACTAATTTATGCTAAGGTGATAGTTCCTCTTAAGGCTGGATTTTACCATGCTAATTACAACAAATTGAAGTCAACTGTCAACCCCAATAAAGACTTTTCAGAGCAAGCAGTAAAATCAAGAGCAAAAAACCATGACTCTCACCAGGATAAAGAATTAAGTGAACTTGAATGGTTGAACCTAAGCGAGCATGAAATTGCCACAGCAATTACTGAGTGACAGAGTTAGTTTCCAGTTCTATATCTTCTGCTATGATAATAGTGAGGTAAAAAAATGTATAGCAAAAGATTATGCATATGCAGGCAACTTTCAAATTCAAACTACTGCTAAAGCACTATGGAACTTGCATTTAGGTTAGGCCCACTGAAATACTATTGAAGCCCAAAGTAGAGCCCTGTCCAGCCAATGATTTGACTATTTGCCAATTCCAAATTATGGTCAATCCCAGTAAAGGTTATTGTCATGCCAATTATGGCAAGAAAAGACAGGGACAAACCAAAAAAACACATCGGTAGACTTGATTATCTTACCAAGCAATTAGAACAACAATATCAATACACAATTAACTCATAACACAGTGATTCTTTGATCAATTGGTAGAAATTTCTGGAAAGACTCAGGACAATAATATGAAGAGAATCCAATAAGTCATAGTTTTGGCATGCTGAAACTGAAGATCAAATGAAGAAGATACCATTAGGATAAGAAGTGCTGTCTCGACCATAATTTCTGGTGTTGGGTGCAGGTGGTGGCATTTATGGCAGTCACAATAAATTAGTGCTGGAGGCCAAACATTGACAAGTAGTTGGAGATAGGTAGCACATTTGTGATAAATGAAGACAACAGTGGCCATTGCCTTGATAATGGAGGTGGTACTCATAGAATGACCATGGCAAAGGATGTATAACCTTGATGGGTTTGAAAGATAAAAGAAGCACACTGATTCCTATACGCTCCAACTATTATTAACTATCATATTAGGAATAAAAATGATTAGACTTTCCAGCCAATAAATAGACAGTCCAAACATTTGCCAGTTCAATAAATGGTCAATCTCATTAAAGGTATTGTTTTGCTAAATATGGCAATTATTTAGCAAGAAAAGACACATGAGAAGAAAAACTAGAGTTGTCATTCACATGGTAAAGGTATAATTCTAATTCATGATTGCAAAAGATTATCTTACAAGATATACCAAGTCAATAAAATGACAATATTATAACACAATCCTCTATATAAAAAGGAACTCAGAACAAAGTGGTTCCTTGATCAATTGGTAGAAAATTCTCCAAAGGCACAAAACAAGGATATGAAGAGAATTCTACACATTGTAGTTTTGGTACAGTGGCAATGCTGAAGAATGAATGAAGAGGACACTGGTAAGATGATGAAGAAGTGTTGTCTTGGCAACAAAATTTGTGGTGTTGGGTGCAGGCAGTAACACTTATGGCAGTTAAAAGAAATTGGTGCCAAAGGCCATCACAATCAACATTGACAAGTTGTTGGAGGTGAAGACAGCAGGAATTATCACCATGATAATGGTTGTGGTACTCATACAATGGCCATGGCAAAGGATGTGTAACCTTGATGGGTTTGAAAGATTAAAGAAGCATACTGATTCCTATTAGCTGCAACTACTATTAACTATCAAATTAGGAATATTAACAATAACAATAATACAAAAAATCCAGAAAGAATAAAAGTGTTAAATGCAAGTACATTGTGATTCTAGCATATATGTAAGATGTCACTCCATAAAGATGATAATATGGGATCACGTAAAACAAAATACTATAACACTTATGGAAGTTAAAAGAAATTAGTGAAAGGCCATCACAATCAACATTGACAAGTTGTTGGAGATAGGCAGCACATGTATCATGAGTGAAGGGGGTTATCACCATGATAATGGTGGTGGTACTCATAGAATGACCACGGAAAAGGATGTGTAACCATGATGGGTTTGAAAGATTAAAGAAGCATACTGATTACCATAAGCTGCAACTATTATTAACCATCAAATTAAGAATACTGATAATAACAATTACAAATAAATAAACAAAAATCTAGAAGGAATAGTAGTGTTAAATATTGTGATTCTAGCGATTATGTAAGATGTCACTTCATAAAGAAGATAAGTCGTGATCATGCAAAACAAATTCCTATAATTCGATGTGCTTTACTCTAGCACCTTGTTAGTATTCTCTTATCATTAAAAAACACACTGTTAATTTGTAACCAGCTCAATTAAACCAAGAACAGCAAAAAACAAAACCACTAAAAAACTATGAGACAAGCACATTCAAGCTAACCTCAAAACAGAAAAACAAACACTGACATAAAATCAACGTGCAGAACACTATGCACTAAAAAAAACTTGAACTGTAGTTTCACCCGGGACTAAAAGCCTCTACATAATCAATTCTTAGTCGTTAAGATTTCATAATTCAAGCATCTATCTACTCTAAACGCATGTAAATCTCATTCAATAAGCTCTATCATCATTATCTAACAATAAAATTCTCCAAAAATTGACACGTTAAATTAATCATACCTTAGCATTACGTTAAGAAGCGTTCGTAATTAGCATCAGAGCCGAGTAACTCACTTGCCCGGTAACACGTCACTCCAGATTCAAAATCACCCAAAAACCGTGAACCCAACCGGTCTAGCCCAATCAACTCTCGCCACGTACACCTCTCCGGCAACGACGCCAAACAAACCAACTTCTCAACCTCCTTGGCACTCACTCTCCCTGCGATTCTCGCCTCCCCAAACGGCTTCAACAACTTCTCCTTAGCAAGCCCCACACACTTCTCCTTAGCAACAACCAAACAAGCCTCCATTTCATGGACCTCACACTCTTCTCTCCCTTTCAAATCCGCGGGTTTCGCACCGCCTATCAGATTCCGCCACCACGGAGGCTTGCACTTGTTGGAGGCGTTGATGGCGCACCCGATCCTCGCGCCCTCTTCGCATTGCGAGAGAATTTTGGATTCGCAGGACCGGTAGGCGGCGGCCCAGGATTTGGGACTCCTGAATGCGAGGAGGTAGGGGCCGTGAGAAGGATCGTCGCGTGGGGCGGCGGGGATGGGCCCGCGGAGTATGGGTATAGGTTGATCGAATTTGACGGTCGTTGATGAAGCGGAGTACTCCTCTAAGTTTGGTTGAGGCGATGTAGAGGCCATTTATTTGATACTTATCGGGGTATTTTTTTGGGCTTTAAATAAGCAAAATGGATAGAATCTTCCATGGTGGCACTAGCCGCGTAGAATTTAGGGGTGGGCGGGTCCCTAGTTTAACGGAGTTAGAGCCAACCGTTTCCTTGGATTTGAAACCGGAAACAGAACCGAAATTAGCTGGTTTGGGTTCTTGGATTGGAATCTAAAACATAGGTTTTGGTTCACAATGGTCAGGTTAATTTCAATTATTCTCTACTTTTTTTAAAATGCAAATAAACTCTCAAAAAATTACAAATATATTCTTAATAATTTACAAAAATTACAATTCAATCTTGATTCTTATCCAGGTACCCAAATCTCGATTTTGATTTTCATTCCTGGTTCCTACAAGGGTGGAACCAAAATCAGAATTGATTGGTTCTTGATTTCTAGAATCGGAACCTACTCTGTGAGAGTTAGTTCTGGGTAGGAACCAGAACCTTAGGCACCTGTCGATTCCGGTTCCAACTGGTTCTTTTGCACACCTCTAGTAGAATCTATAGATTTGATCTCCGCGCTTTTATTTCTTATTATTTTGATTCTTTTGCTAATTTTAGTGAAGTCCTTGATGTTTATCATAATTGAAAATGTCACTCTGTTTTGGAAATTAGGGCTTATTCCATTTGTTAACCCGGAATCATTACAAATTGCATCCAATCCCAATGATATGGAAATTACATAACCAACCTCCTCATTCGGTTAGTTCCTTTGGGTTAAGATAAGTTTCTGACCAATAAAGTCAGGATGAATGGACTAAGGAATGAGAATTTTATTAGCAATCTGTCATTTAGTTCATAGTAAAGGCTTAAAAAATAGAAATGAGGTTCCATAAAAAGGGCTGTAGTCGTATTACTTCCAAATTTGGAAATTTACCCCTTTTTAAATTGTAATTTCCCATTTACCCCTAATTCAATATATTTATATTTAAAATATTTTATTAAAATGATAAGAATTAAATTTCATTATTTATCCCTTGTCGTTGACACCGGTAGTATTGCCATTACCATCACCGTTGTTGGTGGTGTTGTCATTGCCAATTGATGAATTTCCACCACGCTGTTGGCGTCACAATTGGCGCATGATGAATCGAGGCTGTCGATCTGTCCAACTGGGCAAATTATGGCCTTCGATAACCGTCACAAAGATGTCATGTGTGATGCTTGTTAATCACTTGATTCCTAATCCAAAAACCAAACATGACTTTGGGGGTTAAAGAACTGTTAGCAAGTCATTAAAATTTAAGCTGTCAAGAGTTCGTAAATATTACCAAATTGTTCTCTTACCATTTATTTTTACAACTAAAACTTAATGGCAGGGAAATTTTTATTATTTCTGAAATCTTAGGGGTTTTTTTGTTAATTTATCATGCTTAAGGGGATTGATGTCATTAGCCCCACCAATAAATGACAATTATTGTGCTCAAAATTTTCAAAAAACATTTTCAAGAAAAACAAAATATAAAAAATTTACGGTAAAATTCCTACAAAAAATTAAAGAAGCAAAAATCATAACAAATATCAGAAAAAAATTAACTAAAAACCTACCAAATTCAAAAGAAAAATTAAAATTACATTTTTTTTTTTTTTAATATCATATGTGTTTTATTTGTATTTTTGGTGTTAATTTAAAAGAATCGAAATCTTAAAGTTTTTTTTCTTAATTTTATAAAATCTTTTTTTTAAAGGTTTATATGATCATTGCATAAATCAAATTTTAGCTTTTAAAGAGAAAAACTAATGGTAGAAGAGGGGCTTGTATAATTTTTTTTTTTTGGATAAACTAATCCCCAAAGTCCAAGTCAGTCACATATGTGGTAGTCAATCAACTTTGTGAGATTTGAACACAAAACATCTTGATAACTCATCTAATTAAAGGTGTGCACAAAATTAAAACGGTGTCGTTTTAGTAAAATCCGGATCGGATTCAGATATCCGATTCTTTAGCAACCTTGATCCAGATTTTCAGATCGGATATCGGATTTTTTTGCATACCCTTGACTATAAGGCTAGTGGTTGTACAATTCTGTTAACAAGGACATCAAAATTTAAAAACAGATAATGCAAGATAAGATACTAATTTGATTAAACAACGTAATTTTGAAAACTTCTATTACAAGCAACTTCATGGTCATTGACTCATTGATCTATTTCTCTCTCATTTATCTTACCCATTAAGATTCATTTTAAAATTTATTAAAGTCCTGAATAAAGACCTTTTTTATTTCCAAATTGGTGCTTATATAGAAAATGCCTTGACCATTCTCCATAAAATTTGCCTCCAAGATTTTAAATAATTTAACAGTTATATATATTGTTTTTAAACACACATATTAGGAGTGGTTTTATTTTCATATTTTTAATCATTTTTAATAATAAAAAACGCAAAAAAAAAAACACCCAAAATTTCTAACAATTGAAATATAAAACCCATATTTATATTGAGACGTGACTTTACGATACTTAATGGCTAAGATTTATGATATAACTTAGAATTTATTCCAGATTCAACACCAAATGGCTTTGGCTTTTTTCGGAGACAAATTTAATGGTCATAAGTTTAGAAACCGCCTCCCTCAGGCCATATCGCTTTCATGCATTCCCTTTCTGAAAATCTTTTTAAGTCTTGACTATTTTTCAGACTGCGTCAATGCTTTCATGCCGTTGCCACCATAAATCAGTAATGACTTGGGAGCCGCAATAAACAATCTTATTTCAAGAGCCACGAATTTCTTATTATAGCTGTAGAGTTAATCTGCACTTCTAACACTCAAAAAACATCCACCAATTTCACACTCAACACACACAAACGAAAAATGTAAAGAAATCAAGAATAGAGACACGGATTTTTACCATGGTTCGCTTATCCTATATAGGATAAACTACATCCACATTGAGCTCAAGAAACTCAGGAGCTCGCTGCACTAAAGATTAATATAACCTGATACAAACAGATTCTACACCCCAAACTCACTCTTAAACAGCGTATCTCTCTCTCACAATAACCTGGAATCTTTCCTATGAGAACTCTAAAATAGATCCTCAAGACTCAAAGGGAAACGCAGCCCTTACAAGTGATTACAACCAACCACACAAAGATTACAGTCAAGCAAGAAATGATACAGAGTAGAACCTTTTTTACACAGAATACACGAACTGAAAAATAAACTCTAGCGAGTAGACTAAAACGCAGCAGCAAGGTGAAGTTGTTTTTTCATTCAGTTTTGGGAAGAGTAGATCCTGGCCGTTAGATGTTAATGTCCTTCAATGGTCTGGATTTTGTCTTTGTGATGACAAGAATAAAATGACAGCGTTGCACTAAAGGTACAATGGCAGCGTTTTTGTGTGCTTCACTCTAACATTCTCCACCTTGAAGCTCCAAAAAACACAAACACAACCAAACTGCTAAGTCTAATTCTCTCTAGTGCAGCTACCTCCCAAGAATCCTTCTCAACTCTGTTATTTGCTGCTTATTTTATAAACAACATGTTCAAACAATGTTTGAATTTTGTAACAGTTACTACCTTTGTGCCCATGTCAGCTGGATTGTCCTCAGTTGATATCTTCTTCAGGTCTATGATTCCTTTAGCCACTAAATCCCTCACGAAATGATATCTAACATCCATGTGCTTCGTCCTTTCGTGGTAGACTGGACTTCTACTCAAGTGAATTGCACTTTGGCTATCCGAAAACACTACTGTCTTCTCATCAATCAGCTCCACCTTAGATAGAATTCCCTTAAGCCATAATCCTTCTTTGAATACATCTGCTACAGCAATGTATTCTACTTCAGCGGAGGAGAGTGTAACAATGGGTTGAAGCTGGGACTTCCAGCTTATGCAATTTCCTCCCAATGTGAAGTAGTATGAGGTGGTAGACTTCCTTGTGTCCCTGTCTCCTGCAAAATCAGAGTCTACATATCCCACAAGATCAAGTGAGTTTCCTCTTTTCTAATATTCCAACCCAACATATATTGTACTATTAATATATTTCATTAACCATTTCAATGCTAACCAGTGTTCTATACCTAGATTGGACATAAAACGACTAAGAAGTGAAATGGAATAAGATACGTCAGGTCTGGTGCTAATCATGGCGTACATGATTGATCCTATCACATTGGCATAAGGTATTTTTTCCATCTTAATGAATTCAGATTCAGTCTTGGGACTTTGTGTCTTACTCAATGTAAAATGGCTAGCTAAAGGCATGGATATTGGCTTTGAATCTGACACTCCAAATCTGGATATCAGTTTCAGTAAGTATGAGGACTACTGAAGTTTTAGTTCACAGTCCTCTCTTTTCCTATCAATGACTATCCCTAGGATCTTTTTAGCACTACCTAAGTTCTTCATGTCAAACTCAGAATTCAACCTAGACTTCAAGTCATTTATTCTGGTTTTTGATTTACTAATTAGCAACATGTCATCTACATAAAGCAGTAAATACACAGGCATACCAGAATTTAAATCATAGTAAAAACAACTGTCATACTCACTTCTTTTGAATCCTATACTGGTAATAAAGGTGTCAAACCTTTTATACCACTGTCTAGGGGCTTGTTTAAGCCCATACAAGGATTTGTGTAACATGCAAACATGTTTAGGACAGTTTTTATCAATAAAACCCATAGGCTGTTTCATGAAGATTTTTTCATCTAGATTACCATGCAAGAAAGCAGTTTTTACATCTAACTGTTCTAGTTCTAGATCTAGATGTGCAACTATAGATAGCATGATCCTAATGGTTTTATATTTGACTACAGGGGAGAAGATTTCATTGAAATCAATCCCTTCCCTTTGGGTGTAGCCTTTTGCTACAAGCCTAGCTTTAAATCTAGGAGGATCAGTAGAAATCATACATTCCTTTACCTTATACAGCCATCTGCAGTCAATAAGCTTCTGATTTTTAGGATAGGGTACTAAGGACCAAGTTCCATTTACCTTCAAGGAGTGCATCTCCTATTCCATG